TCTCTCTCTCTCTCTCTCTCTCTCTCTCTCTCTCTCTCTCTCTCTCTCTCTCGATATATATATATATATATATATATATATATAAGATCCTGTCAATCTACGGGTTGTTAGCTACAGTGTCAGCCAATGGACCAGATTGAATTTAGGTTGATCTGATGGTCACGACCTCATTACGTGTTTGAATTTTCATTTCTTTTTTACAAATCCAAATCATTTGAAATTTGGAGCGCCCATTCTTCAAAAATATAATAATATAATAAAAATATAAAAACAATCATTCGTAAAATATAAATTGATCAAAATACCCCTGAAATATTTCAGGGGTATTTTGTTCAATTTACATTTTGTGAATTATTATTTTTATATATTTTTATTAGGTGCAACTTGATGAGAAGAATGAATGCCTAAAATTTTCAAGTGATTTGGATTTGTAGGAAAAGAATGAAAATTTAAATATGAAATAAGATTGTAACCGTCAGATCAGCCCAGTTTGAATCTAAGCCATTGGCTAACACCGTAGTAGTTTAATTTCCTATTAAGCCATTTAATGCTGCGGTCGCAGAGCTCCTTGCTCACGAAGTGGTGCACCAAAAAGATGAAAAAAGATAAAATGGTCAACCCGTGAGCTGGCAGAAGCCACTCCCACATACATATATAAGCAATGATCAAATGCAACTGTTGTATTATAGTATAATGCAACGACACTTCTAGAAAACCATGTTTGTGATATTTGTATGACCCCAAATTTTTCCAACAAACTCTCTTCATCTCAATAATCAATCCTAAAAAAAAAACAGCTTAATTTGAATCCTAGATATGGTCAAAATGAGTCCCCTCCAAAAACGAATCTAGACCATTCATTTTGTGAATTTCAAGATCTTAGCCTTTATGAATTCAAAATGCTTTTTTTATTTTTTTAACAATATTCATCTAATAATAATAAAGCCATCCCAAAAAAATTTGATATGAAAAAATCATTCTAAGGCCTAGATCTAAGCATCTCACCAAAATAAATGGCCTATGTTAATTGGGCTAAAAAAATACTTTCTAGATTGTCTTTTCAATTTTTTATTTTTTTTGTGATTGTTTATTAGAATGAAAAGAGTGTATATTTCAAAATTTGGATCAAACCAATGACCATAAGATGGTTTTTAAGGTTATTGCATCATATTACTATACAACAGTTGCATGAAATCATTGATATATATATATATATATATATATATATATATTGAGTCCTGAAAATAGTACATCTTGTAACACATTATTTGGACTGTCCATTTTTAATATTTTCACGTGCTTATAGATATTTGATTTTGAACTATTTTAAGAGTTTAAAATTTATAAGTAGTAATGAAAATAGATTATCAAGCCATCCTAAGAATTCTTAAAATCCAAAATAATCTTATGACAAAATTTGGAGGTGCGCTTTACTTTGATTGTTTAAGGTTTAAATGTTATACAATCTACACCTTTTATGAAGAGCCAAAAGATTTTCATGTAAGGGCCAAAAGATTTTTTACTCCTACAAGAGTATACTATCCCTAAGTGATTTAAAAAGTGGATCAATGACCCAAATTGTGTACTCCAAAAACTGGTCCGAATTGGTGACTCGGGGCTCAAGATCATTGTTTTACCATGCAGAAAAAACAACGAATCAGCGAAAAACAACGTGAAAAAATAGTGAACCGATGGAAAACCGGTCGAGATCGGTGAATCGATTGTCTGGATCATCATTTTACAATAGAGAATTGTTGTTTTACTGTGGGGAACTGCTGATTCCCTTCTAGACTCGACCGTTTTCCTATATATACGTAGAACTATAACAGGGTGACCGATTCTTAGATCAGACTAAGCAATTTCGTACCGACCTGGTATTTTTTAAATCACTGCTATCCATTACTCCCTCGGGAAAAACTTGTATTGAAAATATATTTTAAATTCCAAATTTTAGGATGTGATCTCTAGAACATGAAAATGACATCCCAAGATTACACTGGAATCATATACTTGTTGAAGGGAAAGATCTAAATGTTTGAGAACTCAAAATCCTTCTTTGAAAATAATCTTCTAGTTACGTACGTAAAAATAATAATAATAACGACAATAATAA